GACTGCGGGTCGGGATTCGCCGAAATCTCATGTAGCTTGTTTTACCTCGACAATCTTGGGAGTGAAGTCCCTCCAACTTTGGCCACACCATCCAGACTCCATACGTCGTTATAGATATGCTGGGAGATGCTGAGGCGAGTTCTTGATCGGTTTTCAAGTTATTGGCGAGATTTAACGGCTCACGGGAGCTCGGGCAGTCGTATCTGAGCTGCAGAGAGCCAAAAGGGCGAAGAATTGGAGGTGGAAGGCCGACTTCGAAGGCATCGGACTCAAACGCAGAGACTCAGAGGCTGCAAAAAGAAGAAGTGGGTCACGTGTCGGTCGCGTCCAAATAATCAAAACACAAGGACAAACAAAGGCGACAGTATTGATAATTAAATCGGGGGGCCAGTCCCATTGAGCAGTCCTAACTGTGACTGTTGGCTGAAAATGCAACGGTGATTCAGCGCTGAGCGAAGTAAATCTTTGGCAACTGCCCGGAAGACGCGTCACGGTGGAATACAAGGGGGAATCGGGATTCGAAATTAGGACGTGGGGTCGATTTATTTTTTTCGACCTCCTTCGGACCCCCTCCCCCCCTGTCACCTTCCATAACGGGAAGGTGGTTCCCACCCCTGACACCGGGCCGTCCGCTCCGCTCTCACCGGCACCTTCCGAACTCGGTGGTTGCGTTCAAGAATCGACGAAATTGGTTACCCGCATCTTGTAAGATCTTCTGGGAGCCAGCTGAAATACTTGTAGTATCTCTTTATGACTATTTCATTAGTCTTGGCTCATGAATGTCCCCTTTGCGGTCACATTGCTGCACCTTCCGCTTTCAACCCACCAAATTTGACTGGTTTCCTACTACATATCAACCTAAATTCATAGAAAGAGATCCAAGGTGCCTAAACAATTGTTAGGCTTCACCTTCAGGTGCTTCCAGTGGGACAGATACCACATATGAGGAGAAGTAAAACCACCCAATCGGGGATGACAGACAGATTTGAGGGCCAAGTCGTCCAAAAACAGTGTGGAATACATTTAACTGCACCTAGACACAGTTTTGAACCTTCCTGAAGCTCCTGAGTAACATGTACTAGAAGTTTTTTTCGACCCGAACCGGACCCCCCCCTCCCTAACCCCATGTCGGAAATTTTAATCCCGATTCCCTCTTGGTGGAATACCCCGGTTGTACGTAGGAACTGGTTTCGATCCAGCAGAAAAAAATAGAGATACTGCGAAGTCAGTTCAATCGAACTCTGGTGGAAGCCATTGAGGTGCAATTTGCAACTGTTATACTCGCCCATAATTGCGATGTTAATGAATGCGCAGCAGGCCTTTGATAGCATCCCGCAAGATCGTGGCTTCTTTGTGCGGGTCCAGTCCTTGATTAAGAATGCGTGTCAACCCATCATGCAACGCGGAGCCCGCACTGCGCTTGGGAAACATGAACTGGCGCATACGGCCTGCCTCGAAGATGTGCATGACGTGCAGCTCCATTCGCCCCCCGCTTCGTGCGGCACGCGCGATGTGCTCGTCCCAGCAGATTTCGCGGCGTCGGTCTGTTGTGCGCGCTAAGGCGAGAGTCGTGATGTAAGAGCTGCAAGAGCTGTTTCTGTAATCGAGGACGGAGACTGTGGGTTCATCGGGGTGGCACCGCATCAGGTCGAGGCGTGCACGCAGCTTCTCCGGGGTCTCGAGCAGGTGACTGTCCTTGTGGAAGAGCTTGCGCAGGAACGAGACGTCCTGCGCGCTGATGTCGGAAACCCCTGTGAAAAAATTCAGCCAATCCGCGACAGAGGATACAAAGTGGCAACTCACGGAACCGGGAAATGCGGAGGGAGTTGCATGTGTCGCGATGGCCGCTTCTCCAATCGCGCTTCTGGCAATCCGAGGAGCAATAATAAACCCCCCGGCAGTGAGCGCATCGCTTGAACTCGGTCTTTTCCCTGATTAATCCGCACTAAACGACGGTGAGTTTCACTATAATAGAGAAAGAACTACTTTGGCTGACCTCCATGTTATCGCACGCCTTGCGGCTTGGAAGGCAGTCCTCCGTCCGGTCGTTCATGACTGTGATGCGTTCCCTGGCAAGACCGACAAAGGTCAACCAGTCGTGACACACCGCGGTTCGTTGGGACGCCCGCGATTTTGTAAATTCGTCAAGTTCAAGAAGGCGTGGCTCCATCTGGACGAGCACAGAGCGGTAGACGGTCGTAGCAGGCAAGTCAATGGTCACCAGCTTCCACAAAGCTGACGTTTCGAGCCCCTCGGAACCCTCGCAGACGACGATGGAGTGCGCGATTCCGTGAAGAAGGCCTGCGCCAATGGCATCAGCAATGGCTTTGTGCGCCCCTGGGACCATAAATATATGCTTCAGCACTTCGAAGCAATCCAGCAAGGGCCCGACTTCCTGGAGGATAAGGGTGGACTCGCTCATCGCGCAGAGCACAGCGGTGAGCGGTTGCACGATACCGGCATCAAGAAGGGCAGTAGCAATGTCCAGACGCGTCAGCCCTCCCGGGCCATCGAGGATTTGCGTAGTGAAAGTGAGGATGCCATCGTAGAGGAAGAGGACCTTTTCTGTGAGCGCTATTCGCCCAGCAGGCATAAAATGTTTGATATACTTCACGACAAGAAGAGCCAATCCAATCGGTCCGTCTGCAGCGTCTAGAATCTCTTCGAAATTTTCCGACAAGTCGGCGTCCATGAAGTCGCGCAGGAGAGTGGACAGGTATGCAAATCCGTCGCTGTCGCCCGCAGACATGTCGGATAGAGCCGCCCATCCGTCCATCAGAACTCCGCGAACGCCAGGGGTCTGACCCATCATTGTCGCAGTTTTTGAGTCTTGGCGCAAGCAAGCAACGAAGAGCAAGAGGTCAGCAGATACATCGTCGGTGCGGTGATGAGCACCGATCAAGGCACGGTTGGTGTGGAGGAAATCGCACCACGCCCACATGCGGGGCCACATATACGATCCGGCCGTGGCGTACGCTCCCTTCATGTGACAAAGGATGCTCAAGGCAAGAATTGCGCATCGGACGGGATCGCTTCCGATGTCGTCGTGATCTTTTGGGATACCTGCAGTATCAAGATTGGCGTAGAAGACGGGGAGACAGGATACCCATGTTTCAGAATCCCCCGTGGTATTTAGGAGCTGCAGCAAGCCCTTCAGATCGTTCCAGGACCCCTCTGCCGCGGACAGGGCCAACCGCTAGATGGCTCCGAGTTAGCTTTCAACTTTGATACCAGAGAGAGTCCGAGACTCAGAGGGCACGCACTTGAAAAGCGGGGGGAAGTGAGGACAAATTTTTCGGCTCCAAGAGCTGATGGACGTTTACTTTCGGGGATTCGTCGTGAGCTTGCGCGGCTGCTCGGTCTTGGAGGCCCTGAGTTGAGTCGGCCGAAAGAATTAGCAAGCACATCTGGTTGTACCTTCCCCTTCTTCTTCTTAGCCATGGGCAGCTGTGCGCAACGTCGCGGAGGGTCGGTGTCGAGTGTCAAGAAGCAAAATGTCCACAACGGATCTACGATCAATATTGCACGTGCTCGTGATGGAACCGAATTTACATAACTCGCAGACTCCTTTATTAGGGCGGATTTTGAAAGGCCTTCGTTTCGAGGCCGAAGTCCTGTTCGTTATTGGAGTGCTTGGCAAAATGAGCCAAGGCGGACAAAAGCGGTGTCGAAAAAAGTCTGGCGAAAGGGGGAACCATCCGGATGCGGGGGGCCCGGGAGTCGACGTCGTACCCCGTCTAACTGCACCTATATATATGGTACTTGCACAACGAGACCAGCGGTGCGCCGTACACCACATCCGATTGAGTATTCACAACCTTGAACGGTTTGTATGGACTGGCAAGAGTTCCGGTCACTGAGCACTTATGCCCATCGCCTGCAGAACAGTTGCTCAACATCCAACGATTGATGTTCCTTGCTATTATTTCGGTGAAATCCACGAGCAGAAACAAAAACACGCCGGATTGGGTGCGGGGAGTCGAACCCCATCTAACTGCGAATGATTTGGAGCACATCCTCCATGGCCAACAGCAGTGCGCCGTACACTACATCCGATCGAATATTGCCATTCAACACAATGTATGGTTTCGTTTTTTCATGTCCTGTGAAGCAGGATGAGTCGCAACTGTAGGAGGATTTCAAACACTTATGTCTGTGAAAATCATTATGAAGGAGCCCCTTCCCCTCCCCTGACCCTCCAGGCAAGATCTTTTTCACCAGTGCTTGGCAAAATGAGCGAAGGCGATGCCAAAACTGCTAACAAATCAGTCGGATGCGGGGAATGCAGCCCCGTCCAGCTGCATGTGCTCGAGGGAATCATCTCTTATGTCCAGCACCGGTGCGCCATACACCACACCCGATTAGATATTTACCTGAGGCTTATGAATCCAAGTAGCCCTTTTCGATCAAGGGACGGACAACTTTGAAAGGTGTCCCTCGCTGCCAGGCAAGAGTGTCCTGCAGCAGTGCGCCGTCCACCACACCCGATTAATTCATTCCACTTTACAACGTATCGTATGGCCTGATCTTCGAAGGATAAATCCTACGCGGCGTGATGAAACTCCAAGGAATTCCGAACACCGAGCACTTCTCTCTAGGTCCACGGCCGAAATTCAACATCCAACGATTGATGTTCCTTGCTATTATTTCGTTCCAACTCACGGCCAAAAAATTCATATCGAATTCCTGCTATCCGGGTGCGAGGAGTCCAACACCGTCCTGCTGCAAATGCTTTGGGTTGAATTCTGTATGGCCTGCCGCGGTGCGCCGTACACCACATCCGATTGAATATTTACATCTCACTGTATGGCCTGGGGTTAAATCTTATGAGGCTCAGATGTTTTCGAACAACAGCGGGTGAAAGTTGAACTGCGTTTCGGGCCCTCCCTTCCAGAAAATGTCCCGTTCTTTACGGAGCGTTCTATCCCAACCCATCCCCTCAACCGTGACTCTCACATGAGCCAAGCTCGCTAAAAAAAACCTGGCTTGTACATGATGTATTCGGATGCGGGGAGTCGAACCCCGTCCAGCTGCAAACACTCTAAACCATCATTTGTCATGCTCAGCAGCGGTGCGCCGTACACCACACCCGATTGAATACTTGCGCACATATGGGCACTGTAGTACTGCGGACTCGGATTAGTGTTGAAAAACGACGGAGTCCTGTAATAGAAACGGGTATCGCGGCGTGTGCGATATCCTTTAGGAGAGGGAATATGACATATATTCGGGTCCAAATACTGGAACCTTTATATAATCAGTCAAAGACAAGCTTTCGCCGGAAGTCTCAGATTTAAACCAGAGCGTGTCTTGGTCCAAGGCTGCTAATGAAGGCTAAGATAAGGATGAGCGCTGAAGGCCCGGTAAGAGAATCACGCAGGTAAGCAGTGAGTTGGTGGCTGAGCACAATGTAGTTGGGTGGTAAGAAGATATATTCACATAGAAGGGAGCCTCCTTTTATACAGTACAGAGTATCTACGGTATTCTGCGAGGTTCCGAAACTATGAGTCAAATGACTCGGGGCAGTGACCGAGCCCGAGGCATAGCCAAAGTTCAACCCCGAGATGCCCGAGGCAGTGCGAGCCTGATTGGAAAGCAGTGTTGAACCGAGGGAATGAAAGTACATTCGAGGCATGTAGGCTAGAAATGGATAAAGTACCTACAAGCTGCAAAAGAGCCAATATCCATCACAAGTCCTCGGTTCTTGAAAACTGTGAGGGTGCAAAAATTGCTATGACATTGTTTCTTATCCGGGTGCGGGGAGTCGAACCCCGTCTAACTGCAGATGCGTTTCACTGGGAAGTTGAATTCTTAGCAGCGGTGCGCCAGACACCACATCCGATTGAATAGTTGCCCAGATACACCGCACTGTATAGATTAGTTCTCTAGACGTGTCCAACCTCGAGATGAGGGAATTAATGCCAAGGAATTGCAGAATACACAAGCAGTTTGCGTTGGAAAATCGCGGAGGCCGCGGTCTAAAAATGAGGGTGCAAAAATTGCTGTAACATTGGTGGTACATTCGGATGCGGGGAATCGAATCCCGTCCAACTGCAAATGCTTTCAAGTAGGAAGTTGAATGGCCAGCAGCGGTGCGCCAGACACCACACCCGATTGGATACTTGCCCAGATGCACCGCACTGTATAAATTAGTTCTCTAGACGTGTCCAGCCTCGAGACGAGGAAATTAATGCCAAAGAATTGCAGAATACAAAAGCAGGATTAGCGTTGGAAAATCGCGAAGTACTCGGTCTAAAAGAAATGAGTGTGAAAAAAGTGTTGTCAGTCATCGATTTCCCTATTCGGATGCGGGGATTCGAACCAAGTCCAACTGCAAATGCAAACTCATCACGCTCATATGGTCTGCAGCGGTGCAACGTACACTACACCCGATTCCATGCTCCCTCCGACGCGCTTAGTATATCATCGAGTCTTTGAAAAACCCAGTCTAAAAATGCGCAAAACATGGTATCAAACGCGTGCCACATTCGGATGCGAGGAATCGAACCCCGTCTGACTGCACATGCTGGATTCGACCGCAGAACGCCACATGACCTGCAGAGGTGCACCGTACATCACATCCGATTGAATATTCACATCCCATTGTACGGTCCACTGTTTCATTTGGCGAGGCTCATTTCGAGCGCATTTAAATTAATTTCCAAAAGAAGATCCTCGCAAAACCATGTTTGCTAGATGTGATCGAGAGTGCATGAGCTGATTGCGCCAGCATGGGCTGCACGCTTCTCGCCTCAACACGAGCCAAGGGCGCCACAAAAAAAATCACTTACCTTCAGATGGTGCATTCGGATGCGGGGAATCGAACCCCGTCCACCTGCAAACACCCTATTCATTACGCTTATGGGTAGCAGCGGTGCGCCGTACACCACACCCGATTGATTGCCCACTTCCACCGTACACCACATCCGATTGATTGCCCACTTCCAACGCACTGGATGGCCCGGTGGTAGATCCGACGAGGCTTGTGAAACCCAGCAATTTTTTTAGGGCAAATTTTGAAAGGCGTTCTGCAAGAGCAACCCCGCTTCGAGCCAAACTTACGGTTCACTACTGGACTCGAGCTCAGCAACATCTCCTCAGCTTCAGAGCTTCTGGCCTCAACACGAGCCAAGGGCGCCAAAAAAAAAAATCACTTACCTTCAGACGGTGCATTCGGATGCGGGGAATCGAACCCCGTCCAGCTGCGAATATTGGACAGCATATGATAGTCTCGAATGCCTAGCAGCGGTGCGCCGTACACCACACCCGATTGGATATTTACCTGAGGCTTATGAATCCAAGCAGCCCTTTTCGATCAAGGCACGGACAATTTTTAAGGGCGTCTCTGCTTCCAGGCAAGAGTGTCCTGCAGCAGACCACATCCGATTAATTCTTCCTACTTTTGAGCCTATGGTATGGCGTGATCTTCGAAGGATAAATCCTACGCGGCATGATGAAAGTCCCAGGAATTCCGAACATCGAGCACTTCTCTCTAGGTCCATGGTCCGAACAGTTGCTCAACATCCAACGATTCTTTTCTGAATCCTTGCTATCATTTCGTTACAGTTCAAATCCACTAGCAAAAAGCTGGTGGGATTGTTTCTTATCCGAGTGCGGGGAGTCGAAACCTGCCTAGCTGCACATATTACAAGGCGCGAGACGAATGAATATCTCGGTCTATGAGAAACAAGGGCCGCTGAAAAAGATGGCAAATGACAACAGCACATTCGGATGCGGGCAATCGAACCCCGTCCAGCTGGAAATCCGCTACAGTGTCTTCTGCATGGCTAGCAGCAATGCGCCGTACACCAAGGGGGAATCGGGATTCGAAATTAGGACGTGGGGTCGATTTATTTTTTTCGACCTCCTTCGGACCCCCTCCCCCCCTGTCACCTTCCATAACGGGAAGGTGGTTCCCACCCCTGACACCGGGCCGTCCGCTCCGCTCTCACCGGCACCTTCCGAACTCGGTGGTTGCGTTCGAGAATCGACGAAATTGGTTACCCGCATCTTGTAAGATCTTCTGGGAGCCAGCTGAAATACTTGTAGTATCTCTTTATGACTATTTCATTAGTCTTGGCTCATGAATGTCCCCTTTGCGGTCACATTGCTGCCCCTTCCGCTTTCAACCCACCAAATTTGACTGGTTTCCTACTACATATCAACCTAAATTCATAGAAAGAGATCCAAGGTGCCTAAACAATTGTTAGGCTTCACCTTCAGGTGCTTCCAGTGGGACAGATACCACATATGAGGAGAAGTAAAACCACCCAATCGGGGATGACAGACAGATTTGAGGGCCAAGTCGTCCAAAAACAGTGTGGAATACATTTAACTGCACCTAGACACAGTTTTGAACCTTCCTGAAGCTCCTGAGTAACATGTACTAGAAGTTTTTTTCGACCCGAACCGGACCCCCCCATGTCGGAAATTTTAATCCCGATTCCCCCTTGCCGTACACCACATCCGATTCGATACATATAGGGCACTGTGTGTACCACGGATTAGTGCTTGAAAATCACAGAGTCTTTGGTCTCAAATGAGGGAGCAAAAATTCCTATGACATTGGTGGTATATTCGGATGCGGGGAATCGAACCCCGTCCAGCTGCATGTGCTCGACGGAGTCATCTCTTATGCCCAGCAGCGGTGCGCCATACAGGACATCCGATTGGATACTTGCCCAGATGCACCGCACTGTATAGATTAGTTCTTTAGACGTGTCCAGCCTCGAGACGAGGGAATTAATGCCAAGGAATTGCAGAATACAAAAGCAGGATTAGCGTTGGAAAATCGCGAAGTACTCCGTCTAAAAGAAAGGAGTGTGAAAAAATGTTATCAATCATCGATCTATTCGGATGCGGGGAGTCGATCCAAGTCCACCTGCAAATGCTTTCAAGTAGGAAGTTGAATGGCCAGCAGCGGTGCGCCGTGCACTACACCCGATTGAATACTCGTCGCGCTTGTGAGCCTACCAGAATTTCCCAACAGCAAACTCCATACATAGCCGATAGCCCGTACAGCTTTGCACCGTTCAACCTTGGTTCAACCAAATAAATTGGAATCCCCAAGCCAAAAAAAAAAAACTGTCACCAAATGCGGGGAGTCGAACCCCGTCCAACTGCTATCGCTGAGGTACTTATCGGGACCTTTTCCATGACCTGCAGCGGTGCGTCGTACACCACACCCGATTGAATGTCCACATTTAGAGCACTTCGAAAATCGAATCTTGTGAGGCATATGAAATTCAGCACACAATGGGTGAGGTTTGAAACGCCTCCTGAAGAGGGCATCGTCCCTTTCGGGCAAAATCCTTTCGCGGCTTCTCGCCTCGAAACGAGCCCAGACTGGCAAAAAAGCCTACCCGTGAATGATGTATTCGGATGCGGGGAGTCGAACCCCGTCGAACTACAAATGTTCCAGAACACATATTCATGGTCAACAGCGGTGCGCCGTACACCACATCCGATTGAATATTTGCGCACATAAGGGCACTGTATGTACTACGGATTAGTGTTGCGAAATCACGGAGTGCTCGGTCTAAAAGATGAGGGTGCAAAAATACGCAGGAAACCCACCGTATTCGGATGCGGGGAGTCGAACCCCCGTGCAGCTGCAAACACTTTTTCAACACGATTCCATATGCCCAGCAGAGGTGCGCCGTACACTACATCCGGTTGAATTCCTACACACCCAAGAGCGATGTATGGATTAGTCCTTGCAGTTTCGGGGCCCATGGATTCAGGGATCAGGGGATTGAACGAAAAAAAAAGACGCAATTTCCCAGGCAAGACCCCAGCCCGAATCGAACGGGCTCTCATTGACGACCTATGATCCCGTTTACAAGGGACAAGGATGTGGTTACTGCGAGTCTTGGGGTCTTTGTATCAATGTATGAGGCTGAAGAATGTCGGTTCCAGTCGAAACCAAATTTAAATTTGTGATCTTTTCCAAAGTTCGTTACTGGGCTACAATGATCTGGTCCGGTCCACCGTCGGTCGCCGGGGGATTGATCTCCGCTGACACCTTCGCCAAGTGACGGGTCTACGGCTACGGCTGCGCAGTCCCCGCTGAAACGCCGTCTTTCCGTCTTTCCGCGGCGTTGCGCGTCCGAGGTTCAACATTCAACCCATTGCAAAATGAGTATAATTTGCCAAAAAAAAATTGGCTCCGGCCTCTCCCGCTACGGTCCTTAGCCACACCCAGAACAATGAACATCGACGGTGAACAATGACCCTCCTTTTGCCCTCATTTGTCAAATCAACCTGACCAAACGACGGGCGGCACCTCACGTGCGTCTGTGTGACTGTGCATCCTGTCAGTGTGACGGTGTCAGCACTTGTCACGTCCTCTTCGCCGACTTCTCCGAGCCGCACCCTCCGTCCCGCACCCACACGCACCCACACCGCCAGCACATCTCCACCTCCACCACCCTGCGTTGCGTCTCATCCTCCACCTCGAGAGCGACTCGACGGGACACAACAGCGACTCGACACCCTTCCACGACAGCACAGACAGGACACAGCAGCGACGACGCCGATACCTACTCGAAAGAACGGAATTCACAAGGGATATCATATACACACACACGACGATGCGCTCCTCCTCCTCCCCAGCCTCTTCAGCGAGCGAAACCCCTTCTTCGTCTTCGTCCTCCTCCTCAAATCCGAATGCGAAAACACCGAATTCAAATTCAGATCCGCCGCACAAACTGCGCCACCGCCTCTCGCGCGTCTTTTCGCGGGTGCGGGAGCACGTTGGGGGGAATGGGCTTGGGATTAGGTGTGTGTTTTTCTTTGCTTTTTGGGTTTTTCGGAGGAGGAGGAGGAGGGTGTGGGCTGCGGCGTGGGCGTTATGTGGACGGTTCTACGTGGCTGGGGGTGCGACTGCGTGGTCATGCTGTTGTGTGGTACTCGACGGCCACCGGCCACACTTGCCTCGCTCGTTCTTTGCCCTGCGACGGCGTGCAGCTCGTCACCCTCCCCGCTCCCCCGCTCCCATCGGGCCCCTCGTCACCCTCCCCTCCTTCGCCTACCTCGCCTCCCAGCCGACGCCCACACTGTGACACCCCGGTCCAGGCCTTGCCTTGCCTCCCTGTCCGTCATTGCTATCCGGAGCCCGGATGATGCGATGCTGCGCTGGCACTATGGAATTTCATTGATGTGCATTTGGATGCCTGATATCATTGTTTCGAGATCGCCGTGTGCGTCGAGTGATGGGGTGCCTTGCGGGATGTGCGGGGTGCGCGGGGTTTCGTGCTCTGGTGTTCATGCGCATTGGGAGGAGGAGTGGGAAGCCGCAGGGAGGGCACAGCTTGCTTTTTTCTGGCGCTGCAATGATCTCGGAACGCATACTGACTACTCTTTTTCTCTGTGCATAGGTCGAATCACAAGTGAGTTCTCTTTCTTTGCTTTTGTTTTTTCATTTGCTAGTTCGTTTCGCGTTTCACGAGCATTGCCCCTATGCGCACACCGTGTTTCGTATGCGTCCTTGCGTTTGTTCCAACGCATGTGCACACTCCTTCGTGCCTGCGTTTCCCATGCGCGTCATTGGCATTGTGGGTCCTGCCGTGCGGTCGGGCGAGGAACGAGTCGTTCGGCACACAGCGGTGCCTGCGGGCAAAGGGGTCGTTGTCGTGGACGTGCGGACGTGCGGACGTCGAGCAGGGCGGAAAGGGGTCCCCCTGTCTGCTGCCCTTTTTTTCACGCGTTCGCCGAGTCTGGACTCAGACCCGGGGAGCCGCTGCTGCGTGCGGATGACGAGGTCTTTTCGGGGGAGTTTTCATTTTGCGGGGTATTTTTTTTTCTCTGTTTTGCGCGAGCGGGGAGCGGGGACGGGGATGACGGGGACGCGTTACTGGCAAGAAGCGAGTCTGTGCCGAGTGCGCGGGTGGGGGGTACGGGTTGCGCACGAGTATCGCACGTCGAGTCGTCAATGTCTCACTCCCTCGCGCCGGGGCGTGCGGACGCGGGCGTATGTGTGTGCGCGGAGGAAGCGCTTTTGTGCAACGGCGAGGGCGAGGTCCGTCCTTGGCCGTAAGCGCTGCAGCGCACGGTGTCGTTGTCCCGTGCGAAACAGGTGGCGCACCGAGTTGGAGGAGCGGGGTCGACTCGACTCGATGCAGACGCGCGGTGAGTGGCGAAGGTCCGTCGTGTGTGGGCGCGTGTGGGTGCGAGGGTGCGGCGCGGCAGAGTGGTGATCGCACAGGATCGCACGACGTCTGGACCGCGCGAGACGGGTGTAGCGTCCGAGACGAGTGTGCGCAGTCGCGG